AAATAATGACCAAAAAGGACATATTTTGACCATATAGTTGCTATGACTCTAGAAATAGTGAGTGGGCTATTATGTGTTATTGAATTGTACACCAAATTTCATTTGGGTTTGGTGATTATATAAATTTGTAAAATTCATGACCTCTTGGTGATTAAAAACCACAACTATTGATCCATTGGAACTTTAAAGGGATTTCTTTAAAGTAATAGCTATAAATGTCAGCTTCAGTGATTATCATAGTAAACATTTCATATCTTGTAGGGTTTGTCTCTTAAGCTTTTCCTTTTGTTTTCTTAGAAATTTCTCAGCAGTTTTGGTAAAAATCAAGTTTGCACTAAAGTATGCATCTTAACCATGTGGCTTGGCTCTTACTATGGATTTTTTTTTCAAGAGTATTAATCTGTTTCTGCTAGCTATTAAATTCTTAATGAATTTTCAGTGGATTCTTTGTTTAATTCTCTGTCCAGATTTTCAGGTGTTCTTGCTTTTTTAAGGGCAAAAGTTCTGTCTTTATAGAGTGATGTACATGCTACTGGAGTAATGAGTGTGATTTGATATTGTGATAATAAAGTAATGATTATCTGTCTTTTATACCTACTGGGATGGTGTCATGGTTTGGGGTGAACAATATAGTACAGGACATGTTTTATAGTAGTATTTTATAACAAATCATTCAAGAATAACATACTACAAGAGCAAGAAATCTGTCCACACACTAAATACTAAAGAATCCAGCTATGGGGGCTAGAGCTCATAACAGTGCCTCCCACCAGCCCAACTGGAGGCCTGGAGCCCCCAATAAAGTCTCAGGCAGGCCTGCTTCATGGATATGTGTTGGAAAAGCTCAAATGTCAGTGGTGGAAACTAGGAAGTCTATGCCAGTGGGATGAAGGATCTGTGTGAGCAAGCTGAGGGATTTGAGCTGGAGCTAGGAAGCAGTGCTCAAGGTAAGCCTCAGAGCTCCCCCAAAAGTACCACAGCTATCCTTAGCAACAGTGAGGTCCTGAGCTCCTCCAGCAATGAGAAAAGCCGAGTTCCCATCAGGAAAGCCAAAGCTACAAACTTTATGAGTTTAAAGAGTGTACCATCTTTCCCTCTGGAGTCAGGAGTTGATGCTCAAGATGAGGACCCAAACTTCTCCAAAATTCTTGGGAAAGCCAGCATGACAAGGTCCTCCAACAGAACAGCCCAAGAGAGCTAGCAGCTTCCAACAGCTCCAACAGCTTTTCCGAATAGTGTCCGAAACAGTGTTTCAGCAACATCTGTTCTGTCTTTATACTGCTGGCAACAACTGTCAGGTGGGCCTCCCACACTTGGCACCAAACTAGTGTAATTCGGCTGGGTGTAGTAATTGACCACCTGTTAGAAATCCACTGCAGTCTACCCCTGGCCAACTTGATAAACTATACACATTTCTTAAACCAGTCCTTAGTGGCAGATTTGTGAAGGCTGTATATGCTTTGAATCAGCGTCCTTTGTATGGTACTATGTCTCCCATAGCCTGGATTCATGGGTCCAGGAATCAAGGAGTGGGAATAGGAATGGTACCACTCACCATTACCCCTAGTGATCCACTAGTAAGAGTTTTGCTTCATGTCCCCATAACCTTATGCTCTGTTGGACTAGAAGTCCTAGTCCCAGAGAGGAGAAGCTTGTACTAGGAAGTACAACAATTAAACCATTGACTTGGAAGCTAAGATTTCCCCTTGGTCACTTTGGTCTCCTCATGCCTCTAAGGAAACAAGGTAAAAAAGGAGTCATAGTGTTGTCAGATATGATTGACCCAGACTGTTCAGGGGAAATTGGATTACTACACAATGGAGGAAAGGAAGAATATACATGGAGTGCAGGAAGTCCCTTGGGGCACCTCTTAGTATTGTCATGCCCTGTTACTAAAGTCAGTGGAAGGGCCGGTCAAATAGTTCAGCAGATTAAAGCACCTGCAAGCATGGGTAGGGGCTGGGGTTTGATCCCTAGGCCTGCCATTCTGGCCCTGTCCCTGGGGCATGCTGAGCCAGCCATTGAGACTGGGCGTGGTGGCGTGTGCCTGTAATCCCAGCACTTGTGAGGCTGTAAACAGGAGGATCACTATGAATCCAATCTAGTAGTGAGACCCTGAACACCCTGTAGACCCTTCCCTAAAATACAGAAAAAAAAAAAAGTCAGTGGGAAACTATAACAACCTAAGACAGGTACAATGTCAAATAGTCCAGAGCCTTCAGGAATAAATGTAAGGGTCACTCCACCAGGGAAAGAACCAAGGCCGCTGAGGTGCTTGCTGAATGCCAAGGGAATACAGAGTGGGTAGTAGAAGAAGGTAGGTAGTTCTAAATGCCAGCCACAACCACATGATCAGCTACAGAAAAGAGGATTATAATTGTACTTTTGCCCCTGTATGGTTCTGTTATAATATTGGTGTACTTAATACCAGTTCTTAAGGATTATTAAAACTGTATTAATGTTGAAGTTATCAAATGATTAAGCAAAGCATCAAGCAAAGAAAACCAACATTCTGTTTTGTTAAGGGAATTAGTGCATTTCTGTTTGTGCACAGGATTGTTATAACATGTTAGGCACAATTATATGCATAACTATATGGAGACAAAGAAATATGTCTAGTTACCAGGTTGATAAAGGGTAGATTGTAGTAATTCATTGATTATGTCAACTTGAGAAGCTAAGAACATAACTAAATCATCTCAGCAATTCAACACCCTAGGATGTGGAGGCCACCTTCTAGAATGATTCATTACTTAAAGGGGAATGCAGAAGGATGGAGGGTCCCATTCTTCCTTGGAGGAGCTCTCGTCTTCACCATCAGCTTCTGGTTTGGATCCTTCAGCCTTCTCGTGCAGACTCATCAGCCTTCCATCGTAGATCCATCAGCATCCTGATACGGACTTGCATGAAACACTGCAGTGCGCTCCAGACCTTGCGCTTCAGAATCCTTCTGTCTCCAGTGTGCCCATGTCCTCTGCACGCTTCCTCATCTGACTCTGTGGCTGACCATTGTAAGCCAGTCTTGGAATTTCTTATACATTTGTACGTCTTGTATTATATCTGTACCTCTAGTAAAACCCTGAGTCATACAGATGTTGACCCTTGTTCCGAAGCAAGACACTATATGCTAATCTCTATTTCCAGTGTCATTTGCTGGTGTAGCATCCTTTAAATTTTGTTCCTTAAGGTTTATTGGGGGGACAGTAAACTCAAGTTGACTGATAAACTCAAGTCCCTGTTGTTTGCCAGAACATTTTTGATTGGTTACTGTGAAGGCTCCTGGCCAACTTAAGACAGCTCCACTGAATAAGCAGAATATTAGTTGGTGCCATGGGGACTGCCTAATATGGAAATACTTGAAAATTCCTAGATCTTGAAGTTTGGAAACACTTGATTTTCCCTTCACAAAGAATAATTGAGCTTTACCTTTTGGGAATTTCTGCCCATGTTGGTCTCTTCCTAACTAGCAAGTAAGGTCTTGTGGATGCTATACTTAACAAGTACTAAAATTTGGCTTTTTAAAATTTTTTTATTTTAGGGAAGGGTTTGCAGGGTGTTCAGGGTCTCACTACTAGATCAGATTCAGTGATGTGCCTGTTTACGGCCTCCCAAGAGCTGGGATTACAGATGTGTGCCACCATGTCCAGTCTCAATTGCCATCTCAGTGTGCCCTGGGGGTGG